GGGGTAATTACCATCTTTTATCGCTTTTGCGATAAAGGGTTGCAAAGCATAACTCGAAAAGAAGAAAAAGTTGTATCCTACATGGTTATACAGGTACATTGACTTATTCCCTCTCCCCTCTATTATCTTGGTTTGTGTTGTTCTTGAACTCTTTTGGGTACAAGTATTCCATGACTTTTATATCTAAATTACGCCACAGTTCTTATTACCTTTCGTACGTTTATGATAGGAAAATAACAATTTGTTGCCACTAATATGGCATTCAATGGATCGCTTTCCTAATGACAACTCATGAACCCTTCAAACTCCTCAGGCAATTTGAGACAAATTCAAGAAGTATAGATAAGCTAATACAACGAACTTGAACAATTGATAAATCACGAGAAGACGCCCCTTCTCCAGTTCCTGTAAGGGAGATGAAAACAAGGCGACCACATTATTACATGAAATTTTCGTAAAGATGGAAGAACATCCCTTCTCCAGTTCTTTATTAGACATCTGAAATTGCAAACATAAGAATAAACGAACGAAATTTGTGCACAAGGAAACAAAAAAAACGCCTAGGGGAAGAGGCGGGGACACTTTAGCAGAAAAAAGGCTGAGGAATAATAACTCTTTGCTTTTCTGAATAGTTGACTATAGATTACCTAGGAGCTTTAATAAACAAAAACCAGAGAATGAACGAACGAAAGTTGAAGATGGGAACCTGGAAACTATCTATTTAGCTCTTTTGATAGGTTGGTATAGACACTCCTGATTCTTCTGCCAGCTTTTTGTAAGCATTTTGCAATCTCTGTGTTACAGGTCCCACTCGACCGTCACCAATTATACGTCCATCAATCTTGACAACCTGTCCATGTAAAACAATCAAGATAGCCCTCCAGTATGATAGTAAACCAGAAAGAGTAAGTTGCCTGCGAGAATATCTGATACTAAGCGACATGTCAAAAGGAAGGTGCGACTCCAGTATAGAGAACTGGAACACTTTGAGTGATGAGGATAACTGATGATAGTGAACTCTCTCTTTATCATTATCAGCAAGGTATTCTACAAGAGGTGCAATAGTGATCCAGGGATTTATTTATAACCCACACACTCAAAATAATCTACTTTGAAAGGCCAAACGTGTGTGAATTGGGATTGACACCTAATTAGAAACCAAGCCAAGGTTCCTCGGGTACCAAAAGAGACAATCTTTAGCCTCAAACATATAAATTCAATGGATAAAGGAAACAGAAGCAGTTCTGCATACTGAGTCAGCCAGATGACCTGAAAGTTGTAAATCAGTCAAAGACTTTAACATACCGGGCTAAGCTCTCCCATAGTTCCTGTTGTCCACACCTGCAAGAAGTGCAAGATTCATATTAAGAGGAAGAAAAAAAAAGAAAAATGACAAGAATCATCAACAATGAAAACGAATAGGGGTGGTGATGGTGGTCGTATTTCACTAGTGACAATAAAAATGAAGATCATGACGAGAGAAGCTTCAGCTTAACACAAACATTTCTCAAGACTAAGATAGCAAGAAACAACTAAAACCAAAGAAGAGAGGGGACCTCTAAAGCAAGCAGTGTGACCGATAATACAACAGAAGAAGCATACTTGTGCTGGAATTAACTTTGCTAAAAGGGTTTCTCCAAGCACGGGCAATATATGCTCAAATTGAAGAGTTAAGAGTTGTTAAACAGCGCAGTGCAAGAATATCCTAATTGCTTCAAGTGAGAAAACAACAGAATGAAGAGAACAAGAAAGTGGGCATTTTCATGTATAATCATGGCGTGTCATAAAGCGCGAAAACTTAATTTTCCTGAAAATGCTTATATCTTTAACTCATTACTGTCAAGCGTAAGAATAAGGAAGCTTGTATTTTGAATATCAATGAATTCAAGTAAGAAATTCAAATTGAAACTAGATAAGATGAGCGTCTGAATCATAGTTCCCATGGAATGGTTAATTCCCTCATGATTCATGAATCTTACATTTGGTAAAATGGCTCCCTAGTCCCTCAACATAATATACACACAATTATCAAAGTCGAATCTAGAATAAATTTAGAAACCTCATTTAATGAATTACAAATATTAACAAAATATGACTCAATAAATGATATTATGACACTTGGCACCAGTATCATTGACTTGGAGAAGAAATGTTGGAAGCAAAACACTGGGCACAATGAAATTGTAAAAATTGTTGGTGTATATATGAAGAATAAATATTGAAATTAGTGAATTTACCCCTAAATAGATATAACCTCTTTTTACTATTTGTATATGTTGTTACGCAGGTATTTTGCACAGAGATGCACAATAAAGAGGTTTTCACCTGATTTTTATATTCAAAACCAAATATGCTATGAAACTGCAAACAAGAAAAGGGCCACAAGCTTCCTCATTATGGGGGTGTCGTGGTTGTACAATGATAGACTATCAGTGCTACCCAAAACATTATTGCAATACTGCTGTTTTATTCAATTATAGTACAGATGCCGTAGATGCTTAAAAAAAGGTATTCAAGTTAAAGCAAAGTTTGTTAGGAATGGTTTCTCCAGACAACGGAGTAGGTTGAGTTGTGTGATGAGAAGGATGCATACACTAAATGCTCCCTAAAACTAAATTCTTCATTTGATTAATTTCTTAAGAAGTTGCCTTAGACACATTACAAGCATGATAATTCAAAAAGTGTGGAGCGAGTCTTTAAGAGAAAAGATGTTAGTTAATGCTTGCAACAAATTTCCTAGGCTCGCAAAAGAACAAACTCATAGTTAAGAGTATACACCTCATCGGCAGTGTGAAATTCTGATAAGCTAATTCGTCGCTCCTCTAAAACCAAATTTTCCTTCAGCACAAGCTCCATGACCTGAAAAATGGATTGTTGATCATCAAGCAGATAACTCTACAAATTAATTACTTCATCAAAAACTAAATGCCATGTAATTTAGACCCATGCCACTCTGGCTGCATTTGTAACAATTAATAAACACAATGGATGGTTGTCGACAAAATTATTTTTGATCCTAAAATTGAAGAGTCATCTCGAAATAAATTGGGAAAGTAATACCAAGAATCCATCACTAAGACATCTTCGTATCATAAGTTGGTCGGCAGCAAACAGAGATCATTTCCTAAACCAGTGCTTCCAAACAAAATATTATGTAATGTGGATTAACATGGTAAGATATTTTTGGCTTACTTGATGGTAGATTGAAAATTAGATTTACAGATCAAATAGTTCAGGGGCACTGATTGTGCCAAAATCCATATTATTCTGACAGGAGAGAAACGAGATGGATTTTCAGAAAGTCATTGCTCAAATGAAAAGAAAGGGGGGAAGGG